GCTACACGGACCACGTCACAAATGAGGAAGTTTTACGACGTTGTGATTCAAACTGCCTCCACGTGCTTGTGGCACAGCGTAGACTTCGACTGGCTGGTCACATTTTGCGCATGGCACAGCAACGAATTTCACGAGTGGCCATGAAATGGATACCTCCAGGAGCCAAGCGAGGAAGAGGCCGTCCCAGAAACACGTGGAGACGAACGTTTGAGAATGATCTAAAGACTATAAATGTTTCTAGGAGCGAGGGAGAAATGATTGCACAAGACCGGCAACAGTGGAAGAATCTCGTCGCCCGATGTGCTCTCCAGCACGGGAGAAACTAAGTCTAAGTAAGTATTTGAGTTCAAGTAGTCGGGACGAGATTGAGGGAACGAAAGTTCCACCATATAACCGTCCTGTAGACCAGCTCTATTGCAGCCTCTACCCCACTAACGGCCAGAACCATCAGGAATAACTACCTTCTGTCCAGGAACGAGGTATTGAGAATATGTGGGCGCAGAAAGATTTCTAAGTGATACACGACATTATATAGCCAGCGCTCAGCTGCACCCCTACGAAGGAATGCCGTGCTACCGTAATAATATCGAAATCGAGAAGAGTTAGCGAATTTCTGGCTATAAGTGAGCAGGTCGTCATAGGAATGGATATTTTTAAAGATTCCTTCAAAGCATTACAGTAAATGTATGTGAAGGACTCAGGCACTGCATTTATACAAGTAGTAATATCCTTCGGTGATGAGAAGGGAGTGAGAAAGAACTTTACCGATATCCCTTGGTTACAGTAAGACGAGCTCGACCACTGAGAGGAAGTCTGTGTCCCACCGGAGTGGTTCTCTAGAAACTGAGCCATACAAGTTTGATTTACCGAGGGAAATCTTGTTCTCGATAAAAGTAATGAATCTAGTCTGGGTAGCTGTAGCCTCTCCACTGCCTTGGTTATGAATGTTTCCCAAGAGGATTGGATTGGATCGGGCACCATTCGTCCCATTTTCATTACTGTGGCCGCGGGAAAAAGGGTCCATGCTTCTCCTAACCATTAGTTCTCACAGGAAATCACCTCGTGGCTATTCATGCTGGGCTCATTTTTTGATTAGGTTGCAGAAAAAACGTTGAGCAGGGTAGCCTTTTGTGAGTTTTCGGAAGGGCACTGGGAAAACGTCAAAAGTTCCATCCAAGTGCCTTCTTCAATGAGGTATGAATCGAGAGCAATTGCAAGGTAAACACACAAAACTAATGTTCTTCTTTGTGGAGTCGCAGTAAGTCTGCGCTGCCCGCGAGTCCAGGTGCACTTCTGTTGCATCTCTACCTCATAAAATCGACGGAGCGACGCCTTTTAGTTCATAACAATGGGCAAATGCATAAACACTTGTATCTAATGGAAATGATAGAGTTTCATATGCTCGGTCAGTTCTTTATCCTTGCCCTTGGTTTCGGAGGCGATCAGTTCGATCGGTCAGTGTTAGCGGCTTCGTGACACTTCGGACTTCTTTACCGGTATTTTTTATTATATTATGAGCTATTCCTTACGAAATAATAGAGATTGAAAGCGATTGTTGATCGATGTGGTCACCCACAGATAACCAGCAGGAGTTCTCACGGTACATTCTAGGCACGAACCCAGATTAGTCAAGAATGGACGGTGGCTAGTTCTCGGTACTGAGTAACAAATAGAGCTGTCAAACAGAGCAACAGAGCTGTATTGTTAGGTAAAAAGAGTTTTAGGAAGCTCTACAAAATCAGGTTTCGTATAGAAAGGACAAGAAAGCGTTATGCATTGACAATGCGGGGTGAATGCATTTGGTTGAGTGACAGATGGAAAGCAGAGCAACCCTTTGGGGAGGGCTTTGGAGGTAGAGGCGTTCATTTGCGGTGAACGCTTGCTTCATCGTCAAAGAGA